AAGTTGTTTTAAATGAAGAGACAAACTTTGAGGAAAAGCTTCTTCCAGAAGATCATGAATTGCAAGGGAACGTTTTTGTGAATTCATCTGTAAAAGAAAATGATTTACGGTCTAAGCAAGTGACCTCAGATAAGGAAATAGCTCTCGAAGAAAATCCTGTGCCAGGAGATGACACTGTATTAGACGAGAACACTGTTGAGGATCTGTCTTCTGGGAAAGGCAAGGATGCACTGAAGGAAAAGAGTGTATTAAAGGACACAACAGGATTAAATGAAAATAATGCATCTGGAGAACAGACTGGATTAAAAGTTATGGTGTATGATATCGCATCTGTTGTTTATAAAGAACCTCCTGTAGAGAAAATTGTGTCAGATCTAGAAGCAGCTCTAGAAGAAGATAACATTTCACATGAGGAAAATTCAATTGTGAAGGGAGAGAGTGTCGGTGGAGTGCAGTCTGTCTTGAGTAAACAAATAGAGAACCAATCTTTTGCAAAGGAAGACAATATTTTAGCGGACAAAGCTGTGGTAAAACAGAGTTCTTTGCTGGATACAGACATTTGTGATGAATACTTTGTTGCTAAGGAGCAATTCGATGTGAAGGAACAGGTGCTGCCAGAACTGAAGATAAATTCAGAAGAAAATAAACTTCAAGAAGAGTTTACTTGTAAATCAAGGTGTGATTTTAAAGGGAAACCCGAGGAGGAAGAACAATTAGTCCCTGAGGTTAAAAATTGCAGAAAGGAGACTGCATTAGAAGAAAGATTTGTTGATGAGAATCAACATTCAGAGGGTGAGACTGTTGCGAAGGACTTAGCTTGTGCAAATTTGGAAGAATGGATTGATTCTGAAAATTCTGTGAAAGACAATCCCAGTCTGCAAGGTTTACACAAACTGAATACCACTGAAAAAGACACTGATTTAGGAAAGAAATTAATTTCGCCAGATGTGAAAGAAAGGAAATGTTTAGGAGACAAAAAATTAAAGGAACCTTTTACCAAACAAACAGCGCATACATCTGTAAAGGAACATCATGTAAAACAAAATGATTACTCCACAAAAGTGATTACTTCAGAGGAAGATCCTGTGCCTGAGGAAGACGCAACCATCTGTGAAGATTCAACTTCTTGGAGAATTGATCTACAAAAGGGAGACAGTATTGTTGAGGAGCAAATGCTCCATAGAGAAGACAGTTCAAGTGCATGCGCTTCTGAAGGGAATATCGCCTTGACTGAAAAGGCTGTACTGGAAAAACTAACACTGTTATTAGAACAGGTTTGGAAATTACAATTGTAAACAGATGGGTTGTGAAAGATTCAGCCATCTCCGCTCACTTTAAAATTCTTGCAGTGTGTGTGGGTAACATTTCATTGTGTAATTAACTGTTATTGGGGTTAATTGTAATTAAGTGTTAAGTAATTTTATTCAGTTCAACATCTCAACTGAAATCGTTCTCTTTAGCTGTTTTCTGAATTTCTTTTTTTTAACTTGTCCTTTAATAATTGAACTACAGAGTTCTAATATTTTGATGCTGTCTTTTTCAACATCATTGTAGATCTGTAATTAATATTGCCACCTTGTTTTGTAGCTGGAGAACAGTGTAATGAAACAGAGCAGTCTTGTGGAGGAACTCAGTGAAGAAAAAAAGAGAAATCAGAGTGAGTTACATGTACAGAACATGTTTGAGAAAGATTGTATTGTCTTCTAATAATTCCTTGTATCAAAAGTTACACATAATGGGATTGAAAAATTAGTTCTAAGTTATTAGTTCTAAGATTTAGTCTAAATGCATTGTACATGCATTTACTATTCAGCTTTGTTGTTGCATGGTTCAAAGAAATTTCTTGTACCTTTTGATTTATGTACTTTAATATTATGTCAGAATGCTATGTGGGAGTTACAGGTACTTTTGCAGAAACCAGAAATAGTTGAAAAAAAATTCCAACTGATTGTAATCCTTTAATTTTTTTGGACAGAATTACAAGACCAGCTGAATTTTAGCCAAGAGACATTGAAGATAGCAGAGCAATCCACTGATCATCTGAAGGAGAGTATTGGACGTAAATCAGCTGAGCTTGTGAAACAATACGATTGGTCCAAAGAAAATCAGGTGAGTTTGCCATAGGCTACACCCGAGAAGCCGCACCCAAGATGCCACACATGAGAGGCCACACCAGACAGTGTTGTAGTTTAGACCTTCACAAGACCAGCACAAGACCAGCACAAGACCTGCAATCTAGTCACAAGCTATTCAAATGGCTGCAACAAAAGCATGTCTTTGTCATCATTCACCCTGTTACTCGTGACTGGTCTTGTGTCCTGTCTTTTGTCTTGACTATAACACTGACACCAGAGAGGCCACACCACAAACCGGCTGCTCCAAAACAAGATCAAAATCCCCAATTAAATGGCAAAGCACCTAAACTAACCACATTTAGTGAGGTTACTGCATTCAAACTCATGACATTATTTCATCCACTCCTATTTCATTTCTTTATTCATCTCAAAAGATGTTTGTTGTCTTTCAGTTGAAACTTGAGAACAAAGTGAAGTCACTCCAGAGAGAATTGGATGAAGCAAGATCAATGACACACCAAGATAAGACAGCAGTTTCTTGGAGATTAGAGAGAGAGGAGAAGAGAGTGAAGGAATTGGAGGATATGCTGACTGAGAAGAAAGAGGTAAGATGATAGACGGAGGGAAGAGGGAGGTTTCAATAAGGGAAAGGAAGAGATTTAATAAACTTTACAATATTGACAAGTGCTCAAAGAGGTCGACAGGTGGCATAATGCAGTAATTCACATTTTTGTTTGGAAGGAATTAGTTGAAGCACGTCGGGAATCAGGGAGGATACTGATGAATCAAACCAGAGCTGAGGAGAGAGCTCAAGAAGAGGCAAGACTACGACTTGATGTGGAACAGAGAAACAAAGTGTTGGAAGAAGAAATGACCAAGGTACATGATAACAACACTTGCTTAATAAAACAAGAGACAGACCAAAGAAAAAGGAGTTATTCATGAAACGAGTAGATATCATTGGAGGTTTTGTCAGTTGACATAGCTTATTTTGCTTTTGTGTTCAGCAATGGACTCAGCTGAAGGATCTGATGGCTAGACTAACAGCTAACGAGTCAGCCAAGCAAGAACTAGAGGTGCAACTTGAAAAGGTTTGACACCACTTCACTGCATTGTTGTTTCCTTATTCTAATAAGTTCTTGAAATAACTAGGTATTCAATAATCCTCCATTCTTCTAATTTCTTTTCCTTTGGTGTCTGGTGTCAGTTATATGGAGCATAGAATAAATTAATAATTCTTGGTTGTAAACTTGTTGATGTAAGGCTTAGATCAGATCCCCCAATTTGTATACATCTACACTGCTTGCTTAGAGTTTTGTCAGTTTTTTCCCAAATAACTTTTTTCCCCAAAGTAACTTTTTCAGTTACTTACAACTATCTTTCTTATTCATCTGCATGATACATGTAAACCATAAAATGCTAACACTTTTTACTGTGCATGCATTTTTTGCAATGTAGTTAACGCATACTTATGAAAATAAATCTTTAATGCAACTGCTAACCTTTGACCCCTAGCAAACTAATGAGACGCGTCAACGTTATAGTGAGATCCAGCAAGTGCAGGCAGAAACTAATGCTACAACGAGCACGCTCAGTGTGGTCCAGCAACGAGCACAGGCTGCTGAACGCAAGGTGCTGGTTATTAATGGACACATTCAGTGAACTAACTGAGCCAATGTATAATACACCTGCACCTACTAATAGACATGTAATGCCATTGGTCAGAAGTTAGACAAATTACAGTCATTTTACATAATCTCATTTGTGGAAGTTTATGCTGTTTCGTTTGCACACTTGTTTTTAAGAATAATGAGAATAGTAATTTGATTTAAAAACCATGTAATGAATCACTAACCACATAAGATTGCAAAGATTAACAAAGAAATTGACTGGTGCTCTAGTGAGTTTCTTTTGTTCATCTTGAGTCAGGTTGTGTGTTTGTCTTGTGTCATTTGTTAATTATTTCACACTAACTCAATGTATTGTTTGGATGAATTCAAGTGTAGTGGCGTTCCGTATCATATGAGATTGCTAGCATGGACACTTGAGTATTGATACTCTTTTTTGTTTGATATAGATTCCAGAATTGCAACAGCAATTGGATGAGAAATCACTTCGCTTACAGGCTACTGAGGCTCAGCTACGAGATTTAACATCTACTAAGATAGACTTACGAACTTGTAAAGATGATATCAACAGGTTGAAGGCACAGTTGCATGAAGAAAGGATTGATAAGTAAGGGCACGGGACCTTGGTATTGAACTTTGTGGGCTGTTTTTTTTGGATAAATTTTCCCAATTGAAAGTGGGGTGGAAAAGAATGGCAATAATTTTGGGGGGAGGGAGGGGAAGGTTTTGAGAGGTTAGCCAAATGCAATTAGAACGTAATCTTTTGTCTTGGTCAAAGGTCTTTACTGAACCAGCAGCTTGAAGATGCCAAGCAACAAGTGGCAGCTTGCATTGAACGAGAAGAGAGACTTCGGCATGAAAACTCTGATATGAAGCATAGGCTGATAGAAACACAGAACAAGTTGTATGCTACAGAGGATAAATCCAAGTCTGTTGAAGATATGGTGAGTTGATTGTAGATAAACACAGGATTTAGGTATTCTTTGCCTAAAGAAAATAATTTGTCTGCAAATTTGTAGGGTCTTTCTTTTGTGAGTGATGTATCAGGTTTTTGTGTTGAGATGATGTGTCTAAGAAGCTAATGATTCCTGTCTTCTGTCATTGGTAGCACTCGTTAGCAGAGCAAGGCAAGAAATCACTTCGAGATCAAGTATCTTCATTGCAGCAAGAAGTGCAGCGTCTCCAAACAGAACTCATGCAGACATCTCAACGACTTGATGCACAAATCACCAAATATGAAGAACATAAATTACATCATAAAAACAAAATACAGCAGGCTCGGTAAGGAGGAAAGGGTAATCTATTGTACTGACTGAAATCTGAAGACATATGAGTATTAAACCAATTTTGTCAATGCTGTTGTCCCCTATTCATTGATATGACATCTACAAAAAGCAGTATCATTTGTGTGACAGAGTTAAGTTAACATCACAGGAAAATAAAGCCCACATGGTAATAACATCAGATAATACTTAATGTAGGTAAATTTCTCATTTTGAATTGGCCTATACACCTTGTTTATAGGGAGATTTTTACGAGGCACAAGTCAGTGTTAGCTGACAGCTTAATGAAATTACAGCAGGATCTGAATACAACAAATGCGGAGTTACAGAAAGAACAGAACAACAGAGAAAATCTACAGAAAAAACATGACAGCCTTTTGGAGGAACATCGCAAACTGCTTGCTCTGTAAGAAATCTTTCTTTTGTTCAGTTTCTCTCCTTGCATTTTCTATTTTGTCGAACTCATTTTTTTAATACTGTCAATAAAAAATTCAGCTGATAAATTTGAATAATACGCTGTGATTCCTTAGGATTTGTTTTTATGCATTTTATTAATTTGGAATGTTTCATAATGGTTGCATCTTCAGGCATTCAGATGCAGAGGAGGCAGTACGAGACCAAAATCGCAATGTTAGCACCATGGACTACAGGGTCAAGTACTTAGAACGAGAAAACGGAGTCTTACAGGACCGCATCGATACACTGAGTAGGCAACGGGTTGCCATGGAAAAACTCATCCGGGAATACAGGCTGGAAAAACAGAAACAGGTGAGGAAGGAAACCTATTTATTCGCCTTTTAATTGCAAACATTATGTTCAGTTTAATATTTACATGTCATGTCATTGAAAAATTGTGTCCCGTGTTAAGATGCTACATTAATATTTATACATAGAATTCTATAATCCAATTAGTTTAGAGAGCCTCTCGACAGAAACTTGTTTCTTTTAGGCAATCCATCGGGAGCTAAGTGGATATTGTGTATTTTTTTTGTTTATTGTTTATTGATGTCCCTTTGTAATGTTTGTATTTGTATATGTAACTTTCTAGGCTGTAATGTGTATGCATCCTGAAAAATGAAATCAATGTTAAAAAAAGTAAATATAATGCTAGTAATAGGATTGGTTTTATGGTGAATGGCACAAGTACTTGCATCTGCACTTGTTGCTGTTGAGCTGGAAGATTGTTGCTAGGATGTTACGTTACGGTTACAGGTGATTAGCAACAATGTTACATGCTATAGTTACAAAGAATTGTTACTAGAATGTTACATGCTGTGTTACTCATGATTGTTGCTACAGTGCCAACTGAATTACGTGCAGATTTTCCCACTTAGATCAGAGAGGTGATGTACATGTTGGGAGAAATAGTGTATGTGAAAACTGCTTTTTTTTTTTTTTGCTGTTTTCATCCGAGATTGTGAGCATAACTTACTGGTAGATGAGGCTATGCTAACTTCAGTTTTATTCCAATCTGTGGCTGTGTTATTACTAAGTATGATGCACTTACTGCACTATCAAATGGAAGCATTTGTAACTAAACCTATTGGTGACAATTTCCTTTTTATGATGCACTGCTTTTGATTTCAATATCAAGTTGCTTTTCCTCTTGCTTTCCTGAATCTTCCGTTGCTTGTCTGTTCCCTGCTTTGCTGCCCTGTTTGACACCATATGTACCTGCCTGTCTGTCTGGCTGGATGTCTGCCTATCTGCCTGTCTGTCTGCCTATCTGGCTGGATGTCTGCCTCTGGTTGTAGGAGATTGACAAGTCTTTGCTAGTTTCATCTTCAGGGGGACTTGTGTTCCCTTCTTCACCTCTGAGTACGTTAAATTCCACTGTCCCCAAAACCACATTAACTAGTGGTCTTGGGTTGTCTCAGAGGTAAGCAGCTTTTATGTTCACAATAAAGCAAATAAATTCTTGGGCAAATGAGAGCTTTCAAAATATAAGAAAAACTTCATATTTGTTTGCTGACGCACGCATGGGCAATTTACTTTAAGGCGGTGGCGGCTACAGATCATATCTTGTCTAAAGCATACCGTGTCATAACTTGGAAAGAGCTGATGCTAAAAGAAGTATAGCTAAATTAATGAATATGCAGAAAAGCATTCATGTAATTGCTTTGCACTTTTTACTATGCAAAGAACAAAAGCCACCATAGCTTGGGACTCTCTTGGTCAGTTTTCTATAAAGTAGGTAAATTACAACTAACTTTGAAATTGTCTTTCCCATTTTGGACAGCCCGAGTTACATTTCAACCCATGATCCACGTTTCACCAACAGCAGTCACTCACTACGGTCAAGTCAACCAGGAAGGATACCAGGACATGATCTAAGTCCGGCAAACCGAGAGTTACTACGGAGTCCCGAGTTGAGTAACACACAAAGCTCAGATGAATTGTGAGATAATCTCTGATGAGTGATTGCTGTTACATCATTGGTAGAGTGAGTTACAGTAATAAATGTGAAGAGATTCAAGTGACAAATGTACTGACTTGGGACATCTGAAAAGGGAATTTTTAGTGGAAACATAATTTCATTCAGTGACCAGTAATACGAAAGGGATCTTGAATTGTGTAAGCCAATTTGACCTTTTAGAAGCAATAATGGATTTTCAGTTCAATAAAATTCATACGGTATTAAATTTATGAAGAAAAAATGTTTTACGTAAATATGTGTATTTCAATTTCATGACCATTTGGGACCGAGTTTTAAGTGCCTAGTTACCACCCCAGTGAAGTGTACCAGATGCCTGAAAGAATGTTTTTTTGTACAAAGTAAAAAGTGTCAAGGCCATTTAGACAAAAGAGCTGGTATTATTTATTGCTGCGTACGGAAAACAAACGATTCACACAGGAGGGACTTTTGAATCTGTAGTTACATTGCATAATTCTGTGAGATTTATGCTTAACATTTTCCTGAAGTTGTGCTGTAAAATTCAAATCAAACACTTCTATATTTATACTGAAAGTGTGCTGTTTTTGTTGCTTATAAGGTGATATTTTATTGAACTCTCTAAGATAGTTACTTTTTAAGCCTACTGAGTGTTTCTTTGTGCAAGCTACTTTGATTTTTTGTCTCAAGAACTCATTATCGTACATATAGTACATGTACACTCAAAATATGCATGTTCAATAGGGATTTATCTTGTTTCACAGTGTGGATGGTAACGTTTTTCAGGGAAGGTACATTCACATGTACGTAGAAATATCAAATCAGTAATTTCCTGTTATTTGGGAGAGGGCACTTTACTGCATTTGCCCAAGAAAACAAACTAACAAATATGCATTTGTATTCTACATTGACAGACAGCAGTGGTTGAAGCTAGCAGGCTGAAATACATGTAGAACAGAATGAATTTTAGCTTTTGTATCATTTGTATTCCCAACAGAAACCTCTCAGGTTTTTAAAAATTCCGTATGTCTTAAACTGTTGGATTTTTGTATATTTGTACGACGTCAAACACGTTCAAAAAGAAGGTGAAGTTCAAGTCACTACCGCATTTGATGTGCCTTTTAGAGCAGTTTGATCTCGTATTTAAACCAGAGTGAAGAAAGGAAATGTACTGATTGACTTCTCAACCATCATATTTGTAGTGCTTTAATAATAACCAATTAATTTTCTGAATGAGAACTTGTGAAACGTACAAATTCTAGTGAATTAAAAAACATGTTGCCAAAAATAAGGTACATGTAGTTACTAAACTTCTTTTTCATAAAGTTTATAACTGAATCTATCCTCACATAAGTTTTATGAAGAGACCTCTTTTGTGTCCTTACAACTTGCTGCTTCATGTACAAGAAAAGAAATTATCACGATGTCAAAAAATAATTAATTGCTCAGTAACTCTTTGAAGAAATACCTGTGACCAAACAAAAAACATTTTAAAATTGTGAAGTTTTTTCCTATGAAATGTAATTTTTGATCATGCCTTTTTACTTTTGATACCTTCCTACAGACATGCATGTTTTTATTTTGTATAGCTTCTTTGATGTAATTTGTGCGTGTTTGAACTTGTAGTGTTTTTATCGGTGGATGTTAGTTTTTATTGCAATGCTGCAATAACATTGATTGGAAACCCAATGACACCTGCTCTTTTCTATGGTTCTTATTTTCCGGGCTAGCAACTCAAGGAAACCTTAACTGATGACTGCCCACAGGCCCCTGAAGTAGTTACACTAAATAAAAAGAAAAAAATACTGTACATGGAGATAAGCAAAGCTTTCTCTTGTTTTAAAATGAATGGCAAATAACTTTCAAGTTAAAAGTGAACAGAGTTATGTGTGAAGATTATAAGTATAACATTTGTGACCTTGTATCTGCATTCATGGTTCTGGTTGCAAGCCAGGTAAATTTCAGAAACAAAGTCAAGCACAAAGCACATAAATCTCTTACAAACTTCAATATGTGTACATACAAGTGGCAGTTGTAAGTGTTGAGATGTTTTCAATCCATTTACACACTAGCCCTCAAATACCAGTTGTCTGACGTGACACAAACTGTAAGTATGTTTAGAGCAAGAACCAGTTGGAACTTATGTGAGGATAACATTTAGTGGCATATAAAAGAAACCCATTTCATACTTTTGTTCAGATAACTTAAACAATTTTTTCAAGCTCCTAAACAATCCTAACGCCACAAGCACCAAATCATTGACAATTTCTTCTACATTTTGAGAGGATTATCACTTAACCGACGACACATTCATGTAACTAGGATAAATGAACAAACTCAGTCACTACTTGGTCTGTAATACCAGAAACGAGCTCTGAAGTCATCACTACACGTCATAAACCCTGGACTGGTTGGCGAATGCACAATGCATCTCACAATGTTGTTATGACCTGTAGTTATAACAAAGAATAAAAAAAGAATTTAGCATTAAAAAACTGCACATCAATTGACAGCAAATACTTGTTAAGGTCCGAAGAGTTGTTGGTGAAATAAGCTTTGCAGGATACGAAGTGACTCAAAGAATCCATTAAAAGAACAAACCATTAAAACAGGTGTCTGAGCGAGGCAGACACAGGCATGAGAATATTTACATGTATCGGCAAACTTCAGTATTTCCAACTAGACTGATGGTAGTTGATGGTATAATGCAACTCAATGAAAAAGGCATACAGCTACACAGAAACAGACACCAAAGCAGTAAGACAGACACGGCAGACTAGATCTAGGCATAATAGATCGGACTGAATTGAAACATTGAGCACCTTTCACTTCAACAGAAACAAACAACCTATCTAACCTGATGGATACCACAAAACAGCAAGAGCGAGACAGATGTGATAGGCCAAACCAAGGCAGAGTAGATCTGACCAAATTGCAATATGGACCTATGATGTGTTGTGATGGTAATGAGTGCATAGTGTTGTGATGGTAATCTACCTATTCAAGATAAACTAGTCCAGCATGCAGCGTTCGCACGTGCGGTTGCACGTAGTTGAAGCTGCCTGTAGGAATATATGCCATTACCATGGCTAAGGCAGTCCACATGTGGTGGTGGTGTTAATATTTCATGTGGGTGAAAAAGGTCTATTGGGGCCTTTCAATACATCAAACAATTTTCCAGTACTGATACAGACCAAGAGACAGAAGTTTATTTCTCTCTGCATTTCTTGAATCCCAACAGCACAAACTGGTAGTCTTCTCATCTGGGAATAGCACTGAAAACAAAATACATGCACAGAGCAAAACTGTCTATTACCTAGAGTTGCCACAGAATTTACTGAAAGGACTTTCAGAAGTTTGCTTCCTTCATGAACTAGTTTAAGCTTTGAAAACATAGGTGAAAGAACACTACTTCAATATTATATGTTTACCTTGATATAAGATTAAAAATATTCAATTACTGTCCATGTTATTAACATTAAAACTAGCATCTAGTTGGAAATCAACAAGCAAAGTTACAGCAAAAGAGCTTTCACTTCCTAATTCAGTAGGTGAACAGCATCCATACAAACAGAAGAGCTTTCGTTTAGTGATAAAGAAAGTAATACACTGAGATTAAGGTTACCATAGTCCTCTGTGTGGTTGAAGACAGCTCGTGTTTCATGCACTTGTTTATCTGTGCTAGCACCTGTATAGGTGATTAATACACGGCTTGTTGAGACCTCCCACAACTTGACAAGAGAGTCTTTACCACTAGACAGAAGGTACTGTGAGGGAAAAAAAAAGGACAGGAGGTTTCAACATAACTCAGCATTGCTTTTGGTGGGTATTAAGTATAGACTGTGGAGTGCATATTGTGTAACGTATACCTTGGAGTTTCTTGAGAATTGTACAGAGCAGACATCGGTGCCACCATGTGCTTTTTCTAAGGTGTTGACACAACGATTACTGACACCATCCCATATTTTGATGCTACCGTCTTGGCTGGCAGTGGCATAGATGGTAGCATTGGGGCTGTACGTTACCTGATGCATGTTGGTGAGAAACCATTCAAGTAGGTCATTATGTACCAATGCAAAAAACCTGAAAAGAAACCTTGGGAAAAATTGTGACATTTATGAGTTAATTTAAGTAGTACAGTGTAATATAAACTTCGAGGCCAGCTCTGGAGATCATTTCAGCATGATTTCATTCAGAGGCGAAACACCCACACAGAGAGTGATCCAATTCATGGATTTCCATCATAGAGAATGACTTTTTTTAAATGCAAGTCTTATGAGTAGCATTTTGGCAAAGTGATGAGTGAAGCTGTTTACAAACAACCAGTTTAATTTGCCAAAAAGTAATGAATACTTGCTAACTTTTTAGTTAGCAGTAAATCTGAATACTTGGTTCTACATGTAACTCCAGGCTTACAATCTTACTCCTGGTATTACTGCTAGACCACTACCATTTGTACAGTTTTATCCACTTCTTATTTGTAGTCCACGTAGAAAGGTTTTATGAATACTTACCGCTGTGATCGGTCCTGTGTGTTGATCTTTAGGATTAGAGGATACATAACACTGTAGCGTTGTTACATCATACAGTCTCACTAACAAATTAAAAAAAGGATTTCAATTTTTAGTAAGTTCAACTGTACATATGAACTTACAATACATGAAATTCAAATGAAATGTGAAGTTGAATTTAAGATGGACCTATGAAAACCTCTTGTTTGAAGCACTTACATGTTGGATGCTGTGTTCCAACTAGGAGGAAATTTCCTCCAGGATGGAAGTTCAAACATGAGATTTCTTCAGCTTCTTGCAGACTACGGAAAGCTCGTTTCACCCCAGATTTAGAGAAATCAAAGAACTTGATTGTGAAATCCTTGCTGCCAGAAGCCAGAAGTGGCAAACTTGGGTGGAAATCAAGGGCTGTCACATCCTAATTGATAGAAAGGCAACATTTTGTAAGAAGTAAAATGACATCAAAATAAGTGCTACAGAGTACTAACTGAAAAAAGTCTTCCTGTCTGTGGAATGTTACACATCCCAAGGTCTTTAGTTACATGACTAAATCTTAAGAATTACAAAAAACACAAGTATATTAACATTTCATAAATGCTAGTAGCAATTTTCAGTTACCTCAATATGATCATACAATGTCCTAATCACTGGATGGCTGTCAACACTGTGTTGGGACTCTGGAACATTGGTTGCACTTTTTGCAAGCATTCTCTCAACGTCAAGTATCTAAGTAAACAAAAATTGGACCAATTAATAGTACTGAAGATTAATCGGAAAGATAGTTTGGCTTTGCTCATGTTCAAAACATTAAACAACTTAAGCTTATCAGACATAAATGTGAAGTTGCATGATGACATTTTGGTTCAATTTCAAATGCTCTTTTTAAAGCTTCAATAAGTTTGGAGACTACTGATAGATTTACATCAAGTTACCTTGATAGAAGCATCATCTGATCCAGTAGCAACTAACTGACCTGAAAGAAAAGGTAAAAAAAAATAACTCACACACTAGTTTCCTT